TTATGGTTTATTCTAGTTTTGATAAGACATCAATATATATGCTCGAGTTATCGGTCACTTTGACGCGGTATAATCGTTAGCAAGCTTGTCGCGCTCAATTAATTACCACTGGACAGTAAGTTCGAATCTCACTAGGTGCTTCATACATTCAAGCTTGTGCCATATCTTAGCTATGCTTAGTAAATAAATATATGTTGAATGGCTAGAAAGCCTATGTTTACGTAATTTTTTTTTTCTTCTCGGGTGATTTTCTCTTCCTGTCTATATTTCTGAGATGAGATATTATGTACATTATTTAGATTATTCGGACTATTGTCCTCATCTTTGTCGCCATATTTATCACAACGTTTCGGCCGTTGTTCGCTCCGGCTTTCTTCAGGTGATTGGAATTTCGAACTGAACCATTTATTTCGCTCACTGTTCTAGTTCCATGTGCCATGTTTGATGGATGTCAGTTATCAGTTATCTCCTGCTAATTTTCCCTCTGAAAGTTCTCCACTGCCTTGAACTCACACTCTTTGGGTCCTGTCACTGGATCTAACCATCGCCTTTGTCCACTGTGCCATGTGTCCTCAAGGACACATGGCACAGTGGAACTAGAACATGGAACTAGAACATGGAACTAGAACAGTCTACCCCAGTGAGCGAAATAAAGGGTTCAGTTCGAAATTCCAACCATCTGAAGAAGGCCGAAACGTTTTGATAAATATGGCGACAAAGATGAGGACAATAGTCCGAATAATGTAAATAATGATTTTCTCTTCTTCCGTATTTTTTGTCATCCGGCAGTAGCGAGGTATTTACAGTGTCGGATTAATTATGTATATTCTCCTAACATTCTTAATGATAGATATGTTAAAGAAAAATACGTAAAAGAAAACGTTTCACCATATTTAAAGGTGGAGTATTTTCCTTTGCATATTTGATTTTTTATTTTTTTATTTTTATTTATACACATTTTTTATCTTTCATTTTATCAGGAGACCGCTGTTCCATTTTCATAGTACTGAGCCTGAAATCAGCCCAAAATCAGCAGATTTCGGGGAATCCTGCGCAAATCTATTTTACAGATTGAAAACTGAATCAATGGCGTGATGTTTATGAAGACTACCAAATCAGACGACGCCATTATGAATCATCTGCGTCTGTTGAAAAATGTGTTAGAACAGTTTTTGAGTATCATTTCCTGTTTATAATATAGATTATAAGTCATATCTAAATGACAGAGGACTGGACGAAGCTCACTCGCTGTTCCATGTTTGTAATTCATGATGGTATTAAAATATTTTCAACCAGTAAGTACGTGATTCCTCTTGTTATCTTCTACCTTTACAAGAGCCAAATCAGGTGCAAAATGGGGTACTGTTGCCCAGACTTCACTCTCTAGTCTTGAAAGCGTTTTCGAGTCCTTGTTGGAGAAAAATTATTTTCCAACCACCAACACCTCTCTCTTTCTCTCTCTCTCTCTGTATATATATATATATATATATAGCGATATATATATATATATATATATATATATATATATATATATATATATAGAGAGAGAGAGAGAGAGAGATAGATAGATAGATAGATACCAGGCGGGATGTGGCAAGCCTCTCACTGCCCCATCGCTAATTCCATGGAAATGCTCGGACGAACTGCATCTCCTGGTTCCCCCAGGTCTTCATGCCACTTACATAGTCGTAAACCACCATATTCCCTCCGTATTCCATTGACGAGGTGTAAGTTCCACATAAACAGCTTCTTCCCGTGAACTACCTCCCTGTGGAGCAAACTCCAAAGAGGATGTTTCTCCGATCACTACCACCTTGACCTGTTTAAATCTAAAGTTAGCCGTTATCTTCCCCATCTATCCTTATAAATTATCCCTTCTGTAACTTTCTACCTCGAATGTCCGCCTATCGGGTCTTGTACACGGTGAACCTGTAAAAAAAATCTCATCAGCTCCCAACTAGGAATTTATGCAGTTGACAAAACAGACCCGACAAAGTGAACCTAGCAATTGTTCTAGAAAACACCTCCAATTAGTAGTTAATATCAAGGCCTCCAAAACGAAAATGCTTTCATTTAATCCCCACAGAGATTCTTTTCTGCCTGCTATCAACATAGATGATGTTAACCTTCATGGAGGGCAACACTCTACGCCATTTTGGCCACACGATTTCCCCTGACGAAGTGGAGCGACCACATCGAAAACAATCACTACGTCAACTGCAAATAATGTTGATGTACTGTGTTGTGACAAAAAATATTTCTTGTCAGAATCCATCTTACACATTTATAAATCTACCATTCGCCCGTGCATTGAATATAGCTCCCAAATCTAGTCTGTTGCCCCTGCTGTACATAACAAGATCTTTGAGAAACTTCAAAGTATGGTCTGTAATATAATCGATTCTGACCAGACATCTCCATTTCAGTCATTTTCTCACCGACATGCTGTGGCTTCCTTCTGTCTTTTCTACAAATATTTTCATGGCAACTGTTCTGATGAGCATTTTTCCTTATTACCGCGACTACATAAATTTAAACGCTCTACTAGATTGGCAACTAGGTCTCACTGTTTTACTGATGAACTAGCTAGATAAAACCGCCACTTCTACTTTAAGAGTTACTTTCCTCGCGCTTCTGAACTGTGAAACACCCTTCTGATTTCTTGCTTCCCTGATAACTACAATCGTCAAAAATTTAAATGCGACGTAAACTTTTATAATGATTAATATATATATTTAACGATTAATATTTTAGCATATTATTATGTTTTATTTTATTTTATTACATTTGTTATATTAATAACGATTAATATATATATATATATATATAAAGAAAGAACAATAAGATATATAATCCGGTGTTCTTATAGATATTTTTATTTTTACAAAATAGTGCTACAAAATTTGTAAAGATTTAGGTCAGTTAAATTTGGAGAATTTCCTTTACTGATGAAGAGGAAACGAGACAATAAAAATGTGATTCTACAGAAGGATGCTGAGAATACCATGGACGAAAGATATAAACAACGAGGAAGTTTTAAAGAAAAAGATTCAAAAAGGACACTTGCAACCGAGAGAGTTAAAATTTCTGTGACACATAACGAGGTAAAAAGGCTTGGAGAATTTGACACTCACAGAATATATTGAGAGCAATAGAAACAGAGGGAAACAGTGAGTAACCGACCTAATAAAGTTATCTGAATGAGCAACGGAACAAGGAGTGGGAAGGAGAGTAAAAAAAATAATTGCTAAGAGTTCCAAAGGCTTGGAAGTAGTGAAGAGCCATGGTCGCCCACACCACATAAAAGTCTCTTAGTGTAAGGTGCAAGAAAGAAAACGTTTCTATACTAAAGAAATTTAATATATTGTTTGATGAAATATCTTTTGCAGAAGGTCGAATTTATTAAATAATCATAAGAAACGATTTGAATATTAACGGCTTGCAAATTTAAAATGCGGACCCACTTCTCTACAGACAGATTTCTTGGCGAACCTGATGGTTTATAGTACTGCTAATGGTAAGAGTAACCGTTTCCTTAGAAGGAAAGAGTCAGCATTGATTAACAGCCAGTGCGAGAATCGGTCGAAATGTATAATTTTTTTCTATTAAAAAAACTTTTTCGGAAAATTCGATTCCTCAAGTCCATTATCTATTATCGCTCTATTGATGGCGGTTTCCTTCCTCACCTTTTGTTTGAAGTAGTGTGGAATATCAATATTATGCCATTATTTTTTTTAGTTGTTTCTATTTTTGAAAATCCTCCAGTGACATGGTTTCTGTTATTTGGTACTGTTTTTTTTTTTTTTGATTCTGTAGCGCCAGTCCACGAGGTCCTAGTAAGGATGATCCCTTATAAAATCTAAAGGATTCATTCGCTTGAAGCCGTTTTTAATCATTGGTGAGAGAAAACAGTAGTGTACAAATAATTTTATTTTTATAAAGGGGTTATCTCGTGCTAGACAATTTTTCTTGCCAAAATCTATCCGACATATTTAGAGGTCTACTATTCCAACCAAGGTAATAAAGCCACTAAGCCGGAAGAGAGTTCCACAGGCGAGAAGTGCGAGAGAAGAAACTGTTAGTATAGAAGTTACGGCTTACGTTTAATCGCTTCAATTGTAAAATGATGTGAACTTGCCTCAAATGTAGTAGTAGGCCTAAATTCATAAAAACAAGGTACCATATTCACCCCCCATCCCCGACGAGGGTCGCATATGGCCCAAGGCCGGGCTTAACGTGGGATCTCCGAGCCCGTAGGCTCGATCAAAAATATTCCCTTTGAACCCATATAAACGGGTTCAGGGTCGGTCTACCTCCCCGAACGAGGCTATGCCCTTCGGAAGGCAGAGAGTTAAACCACTCGGCCGAAAGATTTCGGCCGGACTTAATACTGAGTCAAGGACCTTCCTCAATACTGAGGAAGGTCCCTCAAAACAATTGCCATGAAGATTTTTATAGAAAAAGCAGATGCCAGAATGAGGACCAATAACATTAGAATTCGTCTTTATCAACAATCTCTAGATATGTAGCAAGTTGCATCGGGTCAGATATGGCAGCGGGCTTGAGTTATAATTCCGAATTTTAAAATCCCGAAAGATCCCAATCCTGAAATTTAAAATCCCGAAAGATCCAAATCTCGAAAAATGAAGGAAGGATGGGTGGAAGAATGAAAAGAAGGAAAAAACAAAATAGGAGGAGAAAGAAAGGAAGAAGCAAACAAAGAACGTGGGTGAAAATAGAAAGAAATGAGGATGTTTAAGAAAAAAAGAAGGAAAGAAAAATACGAACAAATGAACAAAGAAACAACAAAAAAGAGAGGAGACAAAAATGAATGAAAGAAAGAAAGAAAGAAAGAAAGAAAAGAGGGGCAGTATTAAATCAGGTAACAAGGAAGCAAAGAAAGAAAAAGAAAAAATAAGAAAGAAAGAAAGAAAGAAATAAAAATAAAGTGAGAAAGAAAGAAAAGAGTGACAGAATTAAATAAAGCAGCAAGCAAATACATAAATAAGAAAGAAAGAAAAAAGAAAGAAAGAAAGAAAGAAAAGAGGAGCAGAATTGAATAAAGTAACAAGGAAGCAAAGAAAGAAAAAGAAAAAATAAGAAAGATTAGAAAGAAAGAAAGAAAGAAAGAAAGAAGGAAAGAAAGAATGAAAGAAAAAGAAAGAAATGAAAATAAAGTGAGAAAGAAAGAAAAGAGTGACTGACTTTAATAAAGCAGCAAGTAAGCAAATACATAAATAAGAAAGAAAGAAAAAAAGAAAGAAAGAAAGAAAGAAAGAAAGAAAGAAAGAAAGAAAGAAAGAAAGAAAGAAAGAAAAAGGAAGAAACAAACAAACAACAAAAAATGGGGAGAAAAATAAGAAAGAAATTAGTATAAGAGGCAAAGAAAGAAAGAAATAAACAAACAAACAAAGAAGAAAATGAAAATCAAACAAACAAAATCATTGGGAGAAATCGAAGAAAAGTTTAGAAATACCTTTATTTCTAAACATTTGCAAATTAGCGTTTAAATAGTGTATATACATTTAAAACATTCAGAATTCATTAAAAATATAAAACCAGAATATATGAATAATTTATAATGAAATATTATGAGCAAGACACATAAAGTAGGTCCATAGTCGGTTTTCACGATCGTTAACTATATTTTTAAGCCTTTCATCACGACAAAGCACACATTTTTTTTTCTTTTTGGACAAAACTCACCTCGGAGAATGCGTTCACATTCATTTTCGACGCACTGCTGCTCTTTTTGAAACTCTACAATAATGGGATAAACATTGACATGAGCATTGCCTACTAAATATTCCCATCGCATATGTCATGTTCTGGTTTTAAATTTTTTAACGAATTTTGAAGGTTTCAAATGTATATATTATTTAAACGCTATTTTGTAAATGTTTAGAAACTTCTTTTTTTTTTTCAATTTCTCGCAAAGAATTTTTTTTTTTTCAGTATTTTAAATTTCGGGATTCCGGTCTTTCGGGATTTTATAAACTTGGGATTTCAAATTTCGTGATTTTAAATTTCAAGATTTTGACATTCAGGATTATAAGATTCGGGATTATGATCGGCACCCGTTGCAAAGCATGGGCGAATGGTAGACTTATAAATATGTAAGAGAGATTCGGGCGATAAAATATTGTCTAGCACGACACAGTGAACCAACTTTCCTAGCAGCAGACGTAGCAATTGATTCAATATAATCTTTCTAATTCATGTCAGTGGAAAACATTAGCCCGAAAAGGCGCAGAATGGAGCTGAATATCAGGCATGGTGATGGAACGCAAAAAGGGTTCTCTCAGACGACTAATAGAGAGCAGTTACGTTTTAGAGACATTAGAATTAACCAGCCATTTTTTGCCCCAGTTAACAACAGATTGTAGGTCATTTTTGATATCAGCTACCAATTTGACCTTAACGAATCGATCAGACTCACAGTTAAGACAGTGCTTAATAGTTGTGTCATCAGCATGATTACCAAGTTGATAACTCATGACATCAGTAAGGTCGTTGATGAAACTTTCTGTGTATGTGTTAAAATGAATAGATCTTCGGATATTTTTACCGCTTTCAATGTTCCAGAAAGAAAGAAAAGAAAGAGATGCTAATGTAGGAAAGGAAAAAGGTGTGGGGCGAGGAAAATTAGAAAGGGAGAAAGACATGAATGGTATAAGAAAGAAAGAAAGAAAGAAAGAAAGAAAGAAAGAAGGAAAATAGAACTTCATCTTTAATTCTTTCTTTTTCTTTTTTCTTTCTGTTTCTTTTTCTTACTCTTTCTTCTTTCTTTCCTTCTGTCCCTTTTTTTTACTCTTTTTTTCTTTCTTTCTTTCTTCGCCATACTTTCTTTCTTTTATTTTTATTTATTTTTCTTTCTTTTTGTTGCGTTTTTATTTTTCTTCATTATTTCCCTTCTTTTTTTTTGTTTGTTTATTATGACACTATTTTCTTTCTTTCTATCTTTCTTTCTTTTTTCTTTCTTTCTTCATTCCTTCCCTCTTCTTTGTTGTTTGTTTGCTTCTTGGATTTTATTTCTTTCTTATCCGGATTTCTTTCTTTTTTTTCTTTCTTTCTTTCTTTCTTTCTTTCTTTCTTTCTTTCTTTCTTTCTTTCTTTCTTTCTTACGTTACTTATTGTCTTATTTAATTCTGCCCTTCTTTTCTTTCTTTCTTCTTTCTTTCTTTCTTTCTTTCTTTCTTTCTTTCTTCCATTATTTATTTCATTATTTATTTATTTCTCCTCTCTTATTTGTTGTATGTTTTTCATTTTCTTCTTTGTGTCTTTCTTTCTTTCTTATCCTAATTTCTTTCTTTCTTATTTTTCTCTCTCTTTTTTGTTGTTTGTTTCTTCCTTTTTCTTTCTTTCTTTCTTTCTTTCTTTCTTTTTTTCTTTCTTTCTTTCATTATTTATTTATTTGCTTGCTTGCTGCTTTATCTAATTCTGTCACTCTTTTCTTTCTTTCTCACTTTCTTATTTTCATTTCTTTCTTTCTTTCTTTCTTTCTTTCTTTCTTTCTTTCTTTCTTTCTTTCTTCTAATCCAAATCGAACTTTTCTTCTTTTTCTTAGTCTATTCACTCTTTATTTCTTTCTTTCTTTCTTTCTTTCTTTCTTTCTTTCTTTCTTTCTTAATTTTTCTTTCTTAGCTTCCTTGTTGCATTATCTAATTTTGTCTCTCTTTCATATTTTCAGTTTTTTTTTTTCTTTCTTTGCTTCCATATTACTTTAGTTAATTATGCTGCTCTTTTCTTTCTTTCTTTCTTTCTTTCTTTCTTTCTTTCTTTCTTTCTTTCTTCTCCCATTTTGTTTCTTTCTTTCACAGTCTGTTATCTGGCAATATCTTTCCCAGAGAAAAACCCATGA